GTAGTACTGACCACTGAGCCATCGTCTGCCTATTTTGACAATTCAAAAATTCTATTCCATTTCACACATTCTACTCATCATCTTATTCTTGCTAATTTAGGGGGCTCTGTTCCAATCCCTCCAATTTAAATTTCTCATCTTTATATTTAAATTCCTTCATGGCCTCACTCCTTCCTATCTCCAACCTCATTCAATTCTACAACCTCTTCAGAATTTGGCCATTAGCACTGCTGCCTCAGAGCAAGGGACCCCAGTTGGATTCCAACCTGTGCAGAGCTTTCATGTTCTTCCTGTGTCTGCCTGGGTTTCTGCCGGATGCTCTGGTTTCCTCCCATAGTCCAAAGATGTGCAGGATAGATGTATCAGCCATGCTAATTTGCCCCATACTTTCCAGGGATGTGCAGGTTAGACAAATTAGCCATGGTAAATGTGGGATTATGGGAGTAGAGTGGTGGGGATGGGTGCAAGTGGGATGCTGTTTTGAAGCTCGGTGAGATTTGATGGGCAGAATGGCCTCTACCTGCAATGTAGGGATTCTATGAACTCAATGATCCCAGACGTTTGTATATTGCTTACACTCTTTTGCTGTAATAATGGTGGTCATAATTTTTAAAATTGAAAAAAAATAATTGAGACCCTAACTTGTGGAACTGCTTTCTACTATCTTCTTTTCAAGATTCTTCTTAAAACCCAAACAATTTTTTGACTACTTTTCCTCAGATTTCATCTTTTAGCTCAGCATCTATTTTTCTCATGTTTTCCCTCTATGAAATGCTCATGTAACAGGATTCTACAATAAATTTATAAATACATGTTATTGTGGTTACAGAAATGTTTTCACAGAAAAGAGTATTCTTACATGAAGCAAAGTCCATCATGTCATTTAAGAAGGCATTAAATATTATAATGTGGGAAAACGTGAAGGTACGCACTTTGGCAGGAAGAATAGGGGAGCTGAATAGTATTTAATGGAGAAACACAGCAGAAAGCTATAGAAAAGAGGGACTTAGGAGTCCTTGTCCACGAATCACAAAAAGCTGGCATACAAGTTCAACAGATAATCAGGAACGTAAATGAAATGTTAGCCTTTATTTCAAAAGGTTTGGAGTATAAAAGTGTGGAGGTTTTGCCCAAAATATACAAGGCTTTTGTCAGACCAAAGCTGGAAAAGGCAGAGAAATGGAAATGATGATTACCAGATCAGTCATGATCTAATTGAATGGTATAGCAGATTCGATGGGCTGAATAGCCTACTTCTGTCTACTTTTTGGTCTTACTTCCAGAATAAAAATACTGAGACTGAAGAAGGCAAAGAGATAAAAGACTATTGCTCCAATATGAAGGTGAGACATCACAGACATAATGCACTATATTCCCCCTCCTCCATTCTGCATTTCTAACTCCTGTTAATAAATGGAATCTAGAATCTACATATTTAGTAATATCAGTCAGGATATGCTTATTGCTAGAAGTGTTGTCATTTATAAATCTTGAAGCGCATTTCAAGGATTTGCTACAAAAACAAATTAAGCTGCCTTATCCACTGCTTTATTGAGTAATATATTGATGTACATTGCATTATAAATTGTCTGCATTCAAAGCCCCCAATAAAATAGAGTAGCCACAAGATATTAAAAACAATTCTCAGTGCAGCACTGTACATTTTAACAAGGTACTAAATTTTTATAAAATGAATAAAACAATTTTGATCATTCTGTACAAAATTGATTCTGGTAGGTTTACATACAGATCAATATAAATGCAACTAGATACATCACCACTGAAATTTCTACTCAGTTGGCACTGTAAGAAAAATGACAACAATACTGTGCTAAATTGACCCTATGTTAATATTGTTGAGTAAACTGAAGTTTCAGACATTTTACACAGCGTATACTGAAACCATCACTTTAAGAAATACCAAGCATTAAAACAAATTGTTTTAACTGTTCACAATGAATTTTACATTCATGTTCACATCTTCTTCAGTTGCAACCATTATATGCATAGTTATATTTTGTGGTCACTTTTTTTTTGTTTTGTTGTCATTGATAGCCAACAGCAACTTGTTTGTGTCTTTTTGAGTAATATTGACTCCAAATCCTATGGAGTTCAGCTGGTGCAGCATCAAGATCTTCATTTCTAATTATTATAGCTTCATATTCAAGTTAAGGCAAGCAAATACAATTAAATATCTGGTAGGATCAGTCATTAATGGCATCACTGATATAATTGCAAAGATTTTTGAGGGAGTGGTGATACTCAAGTCATAACGTGAATTTGTCAAATCACAGATGGAACACTTTAAGTGATCAGTGGTACTTTTCTTAATTCTGTTTGCTCAGCTCAAACATGCTGATCCACATCAGCAAATTTAACCATGTCTGTGTTTTCTCAAAACTATAGTGATACCCAGAGATAATAAGAACTATTGTGTTACCCATTTGTCCTCATCACTGCAGCAGAGACAGGATATTGCTGGACAAGGCAAGGCTTATTAAAATAACCTCAGTTGACATGTCTCATCCTATTCAATGAACAATCTCCAGTACATCACACACACATTTCCATTGCATAAACTACCTCAGAGTCCAAAAACTAATTGCTGTGCATTGTGATTCACCAGCAAGACTGCACTTATACTGCAGCTGCTCATCTTAACAGGAAGTCACAACCGCCTGTTCAATATAGTGAGTAATCTGCTTATAGTGTCTGGATTGAATTTAGGAGAGAGCTTTAACTGTCTACGTGCAGACTTCCTGTACCAGCATTTAAATGTAAGATAGTCTCAATGACAGAACACAACAGACCACAGGGAAATTTTAAATCTTATTGGGCTTAGGAGTCATACTGCTTGTAGTGTCAAACTGAAGCAAAGTGAGATCTCCTGCACTAAGATTTTTATTCTGCTTCTCTTTTGATTCAGATTAGATCCTCACTCTCCATTTCCACTAATACACTGACACTGGGAACTCTATGACTCTAAGTGGAAAACCACTTTACCTTGAAGTTTGTGCAGCATTTCAGCTACCTTAAATTGATAAGGATGAATAAGGAATGTGAATGAATTAAAATACAATTTAAAAACAAAATGGATGTTTTGAAAAGCAGCTGTGACTCATTCAAATTAGCATTGGTTGCTATGATTTCAGTTGCCTACACCCCAAGGCCTGGAACATCCTCCCTACCATTTTTTACCTCTCTCTGACTTTCCACGTTTAAGACAAACTTTAAAATTGACCTCTATGACCAAGCTCTGGTTTCCTGATCCAACATCTCCTTCTGTGGCTCAGTGCCAAATTTGTTTCACAGCATTTCTGTGAAATGCCTTGGGAAGTTTCATTACATAAAAGATGCTATACAAGTTGTTGTTATAATGTATGTTACAATGGTACACGTTATAAAATACTGCGTAAGATTTGCGTGTGCTTAAGAAAATACAATACAGTAAATCATTTCAAAATATTAATGAATGATAATAATTCCATAATAGGCCAATAAATAGCAGAACAGCACAAAGAAGCCCTCCCTAGATGTTTAGCTATTTCAAAATGGTGAAATTGGAACACTGACTGATGGAGTTTTCTTCAGCATCCTAGATGGACTTTGAATATGAGTTGCATATTTATGGAAACAAAGTTATTGATAATCACAGCCATTTCAAACAAAGATATAGCATTACCTGGGATTTTCACTTTGTTTAAAACTTTAAACCTGTAAACATACCTTATCCTGGGAATATGACATAAAAAATAAAACATATCTTAATACGATGAAGAGATAGCATGACATTCTAATAATGTGAGTTGCAGGGATAAAATGATATAGCGCTTCCTAAATTATTCCACAGATATTATGTGGAAAGCAGGAAAGTTCTACCTTCAGATTGAGGCTGAAACATGTTCCATAAGGGTAACCCCAATGGGGAATTAATTGGCGACTCATAAAATATCCAACATTTTGGAGAGGAAGGCTCAAGAAAGAGAACACCTAAAATATGAAGATCTTGTGCCAAGAAGTACTTACCAAGATTTAATTGGTTAGCACTTCTGCAAGAACACTCAAAATTTTAATATTATCCACAACACAGCAGTTCATTCATCTGCAGCTCATGCACTAGCTACAACATCCAAAACCAATAGGTTCAGGGTGTATGATCAAAACAATACAGAAACACATCAAGATTTCTTCACTCACACTTTCTGAACACATGATTTTTACCACTTAGAGAACAAGGACAAAAAGGGCATAGGAACACCATCACCTCCAAATTTTCCTCCAAGTCAAATAATCAGCCTGACTTAGACACATTGTTGTTATTTAATTGTCACTGGGTTAAATTCATAGAAATCATTATCTAACAACATTGCTTCAGCACTTTTGCCACATGGACTGTAGGTATTCAAACAAACCACCATTACTTCATCAGGAAGTCCCACATGCTAGAAATGAATCAATAAAACATGAAGACAACCTTGAAATGTGACAAACTTGATTGCTATTTTACACAATGTTCCTGTTAGTATTAATGAAGCTTTCATTCTTCCATCAATGTGAAAGTTTAAACTGTCCAATTTTGTGAAGGTACTGCTATAGTAAGGATATTATTAAATTGGAGAAGGTTCAGCAAATATTTACTAGAATGTTGCTGGGAATGGAGGGTTTGAGTTATAAAAATAGGCTGGATATGCTGGGAGTTTCTTCACTGGATCGTGGGAGGTTGAGGGGTGACTTTTAGAGGTTAATAAAATCATAACAGGCATAGATAAAGTGAATAGCAAGGGTCTTTTCCCCAGGGTGGGGGAATTCAAAATTAGTGGGTGTATTTTTAAGGTGAGAGGAGAAAGTTTTAAAAAGGACATGAGGGGCAACCTTTTTTTTGCACAGAGAGTAGTTTGTATGTAGAATGAACTGCCAGAGGAAATGGTGAATGCAGGTACAGTTACAACATTTAAAAGACATTTGGATAGGTACATGAATCGGAATGGTTTGGAGGGATATGAGCCAAACGCAGGCAAGTGGAACTAGTTTAGTTTTGGAACATGGTCAGCATGGACTAGTTAGAACGAAGGGTCTGTTTCCATGCTGAATGATTCTATTAGAGTCAAGGACAGGTTCTGTATTACCGTATTAATACTGTATTAAATGTATTACTGACTTTCACATTGTGTCATATCCCTACATAATTATCATTAATAGCTCGCCTTTGAATTATGGTCCATGGCTAAATAAAAAGGATACATTACTATTCTGTAAGTGGCTTTGACATTAGTGAACAGTCTTACTATGAATGAAAATATCTTTAAATGACTGCTTTCATACTTTTATATTCAAAATGAACAATCTTATAAAGGGGACAGAAGAGGCTCCATACTTGCTGTACAAACATCTGTCTGGTAAAATACTTTTCCATATTAAATGCAGTGACTCAGTTTTGACAAAATAGCCTTTTAAAATATCAAACTCATTTGAAAATTCACTTTAAGTGCTACAACTTAGATTTAGATGCCAGTGTAAATCAAGACATCAAAAGGCATTTAATGCTATCTTATTAGACTGCCTATTTAAATCATTTCAAACATTTATGGCTGGGAGAAAAGAAATGGTTACATCATTAAATACATGGTGTTCAAAAATGCAGCGAAAAAAAGTTATTGAAAGGGTTGCCATCTTTTTGAATTCAAGATGACACAAGAATGAAGTTACAAAGCATTTTAAAAACTTTTTTTTCTGTATTTTTAATTGAGCTCTGTTTTTGTGTTGGATTCACATGACGTGTCCACAGTAAAATAAGTTTCAGAATTGAATATCTCTTAGATATGAAGGTTACCAGCTTGCACAGTGCAGCTTTTAAAATAGCAAAAAAAACCTTCATCCATCTCTACAGTCAACATAATTTCCTTTGATCCAGAAACAAATCTGTGCATATTTCAGAGGAGTGATCCGAACAGCCACATTGTAATCCTGCTGCACACCATTCTTGTCCACCCACTGATGCCCTGAGAATATGCCAATCACTTTTCGCTCCCATTTCCGACTTTGCCTTTTCCACATTCGAATGTAAACGCCCGAACCACTAGCTCCTGGCTGAGCATCACAGTGCTGATAAAGGAGGTCATAGGTTTCATCTTTGACCAAGCAGAAACGATAAACAAGATCTCCTGGTCGGTCATTATCAAAACCAGAAAAGTGAATCCTACCGCCAGGCATCCTCCCCCGAGGTGGAGTAACTCCTATTTTCATAAAGGGTTTCTTGTGACGCTTTTTCAATTCTAATAGTGCATAGTCATAATCCATGCCGATTTCATTTGCTGAACCTTTGATCCATCCTTTTGGGACATGTGTCCGTTTTACTCGTATCCAATGGAGCCTAGGTTTTTCTGGAAAAAGCAAGTTGGTTTGGTTTGTGGCTTTTTGTTTCTGCTTAAAAAATCCAACTTTCATCCTTTGCGCACCCTTCACATAGTTCTTACCATCATGAATACAGTGGGCAGCAGTTAGAACATGCTTCTCAGCTACAAGAGTCCCAGTGCAGCCTGTGGAGATTTTCACTGATGTTGAGAAAGGATAGCTCAACAGAAAGTTTTTTGCTAAGATGCTGAATCTACCATCCAAGCCAAAGACCTGTCTTTTTGTTCTTCGACCATTGCTGTAGTGCTGTTTGTTTACCAAATCGACAGCATTGAAACTATAGATGTCTACATTTGTAAGGGTTCTGCTTCCATTGGAGTACAGAGTTTCATAAGACAAATATTCTTTTAGGTCTTCATATGTTGGTAGGGGTGCTCTTTTATGACACTCTAATTCACACGGAGAGGTTACTTCCAGCTTTGCTCTACCCTGAAAATGAGCTTTCTCCAGTGTCACGGTATCATGAGGCAAAACAGCAGGTATTCTTGTATTTCGCCATTCTGCCTCAAGCATCACTACATGCTTGATGGAACAAAGGAAAATGACTAGCACTGGCACTGTTACCATGGTGAATAGTGTTCTGCTGTTGAAAGAACACAGACTTAGGTTAGTGATGCTAATCATTTCATACGCTTATAATTTGAAAGGTTAGCTCTAAAAATTAACTCCTACATGATAACATTCATGAAATGCTAATCTGATAGTAGGGTAACACTACATTCTGCTGACTGATGTAAACGCAACAAATTCACTTTTAAGCACTGAGAAATATTTTACATAGAATTTCTGAAAAGCAGAATACTTGGATGCTGAAAATCTGAAATTAGATAAAATGCTGTGAATAGTCATTAGGCTATTGCAGCCTCTGTGGAAAGAAAAACAGAGTTAACATTTCAGATCTGTGTCTTATCATCAAACAGTGAAAAATTAGAAAATTAATAGATTTAAGTGAGAGTTGATGAGACAAGGAATAAAGGAAGGCCTGTGATAGGGAGAAAGACAGCACTTCCAGGGCTAAGGATGGTGATGGGACAAAGTTGTAAACAAAGAAACAAAAGATGTGCCTGGAGCAGGTGTACTGCTGCTGCTGACTAAACGCAAAAATAAGTAGAAAATTGCAAGGTGCAAAGAACATAAAACAAAATGGACGCTGAGATTATGGTTTGAAATTACTGAACTGTGTTGACCCTGGAAGGCTGTAAACTGCCCAGTTGAAAGATAAGATGCTGTTTCTTGAGCAACATTGGAATAGTGCAGTAGTCCAGGACAGAAATGTCAGTGCAACAGCAAAGTGGAGAATTAAAAAAATGGGCCACTAACAACATGGAGTCATGCTTGTCTAGTGGAAGGACGAGTTCCAAAAGCAGTCACCAAATTCACGTCTGTTCCCCCAGTGTAGAGGAGACTGCATTGTGAGCAATAATTAGAATAAGCTATGTGAGGTTGCTGACTTACTTGCCGAGCTGGCTTGTTCTCATTCAGACATTTCGTCACCATGCCAGGTGACATCATCAGTGAAGCCTCCGATGAAGCGATGTTATTCTACTCCACTTGGAAATTATACTGTTTGGTCTTTTAATGGTGAGTAGCGTCATTTCTTGTTTTGATCTGTACGGGTTTGTATATGGGGTCAAAATCTATGTGCTTGTTGATTGCATTACAGGTGGAGAACCATGCCTCTAGGAATTCCCATGCGTGTCTTTGTTTGGCTTGGGCTACTATGGTTACTTTGTCCCAGTTAAACTGATAGCCTTCATTGTCTGAGTTTACCGATATTAAGGTGAGCTTGTTGTGCCGTTTTGCTGCTAGCTGATGTTCATGATTCTGATGGCTAGTTTCCTTCCTGTCTGTCCGACGTAATGTTTGTGGCAGTTGTTGCATGGTATTTTGTAATGCAATCAACAAACACATAGAATTGGACCCTATATACAAACCTATACAGATCAAAACCGGAAATGACACTACTCACCACAACAGACCAAATAGCATAAATTCCAAGTGGAATAGAACAACATCAGAGGCTCCACTGATGATGTCATCTGGCCTGATGAAACGTCTGAACACGAACAAGCCAGCTCGGCGAGCAAGTCAACAACCTCATCCACAACCCGAGCTACACAGATCTTTGCCAAAACTTTAGAATAAGCTACATCAAAAAAAGTTCTTGGGAATTACTGCTTCACATGACAGGAGTGTTTGGGGCTTTGAACAGTGAGAGGCAGGAGGGAAAAGGTCAGGTGCTACATCTCCTGCGTTTGCAATGGAAGGTTACTGTGGGGAGGGCATTAGTATTGTGGATGTCTGAGAAGTAAACCAGGATATCATTGGAGGGAAGGGTGGAATGTTGAAAATAGAGGAGAGGGAAGATGTGTTTGGCAAGGATGTCATGCTGCAGGTGGCAGAAATGACAGAAAAGATCTACTGAATAGAGGCTAATAATGGCTGTTCGGTGATGACAACAGGAATCCTCTCCAGGAGGAGGGGAGGGGATAAGACAGAAATGTAAGAAATGTGGCAGACATGGACAAAGGCCCTGTCAAATACAGCAGCAGAGGAATTCTCTGTGAAGAAAGAACGTAGCCATCTCAGAAGTGCTGTGATGGAAAGCTGAATTATCAAAACCGATATGATGCAAGCCAGGACTACGCCCACTCTGCTGATTTTAACTTGATAAAACTGTGTTCCGGCAAGGTTGAGAGGATGAAAAATTTTCTTTCCAAGTTTATTACAAGATATTCTGCAAAAATGACAGACCTCTTTAAGTGGAAATGTGTTTTATTTATTTTCAAACTAATAAACTGCTCACTATAGTTAACTCATACACAGAACCATTTGAATATGTTCTTGTTTTGTAATATCACAAATTCCTAGTTTTAGGATTAGCCAGTATTCGGGTGGGTGTTTCAGACATTCGATATTTCAATAATAAACAAACAAAAGGCCTACTGTCTCTTCAAATGACTAACTGTAAACATAATAGCTATACAGTATGATGAGCTATGTCTTCTATACATTGTGTTGTCAACTAAAAGGACAAAAATACGAACAGAGTATTGTCTACTTAAAAAAAAATCCATTCATCATATGGAAAGTGACTTAAAAAATTTAGAAAACACACCAAAAAAGCATATCTTCTTAACATCATATCATCTTCATAGTTATCTAAAACTGACGAATGTATGCAACAGTCACTGTAAAAACATTTTTAAACACTTAAAAAAAACACTCAGCAGTAGCTTTAAATGATTAACAGCAACTGGGGGTGGTGTATTTAAAAATACAGATGTACCCATTCAACCACAAGCATTACACTGTCTGATGCTTCTGATGGTGCTACTGCCTGCTTTTTTTTAGCAAGGATGTAACATAAATGTTACGAACTACCATTTACCAAACAGAAGTCACCAATTTAGCTGATTATCTGGATTACTCCTTTTTTTTCTCCTTTCCACTTCTCTATTCATCTTTTGTATTACTCACTCTTGGGAGGACAGGCATTTCCTGACATCAACCTAGCTGAATGTACGAATAAAAAACAAATATTCTATGCTGCAGCTGGAATTCTGAAGTTAGTGGTTCAGATTGACGTAACTCCATCTGACTCACATTATCATCAACCAATCCAATGGTGTATGTAAATCATAAAGACCAACCTTCCACAAACATGCCCAGAACAGAATGCTGCAAGTATCTGTAAAATATCTATTCATTGAATCTTAGCTGATTTTATGTTCCTGATTTATCCAAGCACTACTTAAAATGGATTTTGTTGAACTCTGGTCAAAAGCATTGTTTGGCACCTATGCATCACCTTTACTTTGATGTTTATATCAAAATTTATCATACTAATGGAAATATTCACTATTGAAAGAACATATTGTATAGTAATAAATGCCAGGACACCTTAACTAAATTTCTCTATTTGTATACAATGTACATCACATGCAAAGTGCCTAAATTGTTTGTTTGGGAATCCAGGGTACAGCCATCTTGTTGTCATTAATGAAAAAAGCTGTGGTCTGATGACAAATGAGAAAAATTTGACAACATTTTAGCTGAAGCTTTTGCCAGCCTCCTTGGATCTCACTTTAACTGAAAATAATCTGTTTCAGTAATGTGAAATCAAACTTGTCAATATACTGACAACTGAGATGGTGGTACACAGTATGGTAAGTATTCTTGAAATCCATGCCAGGTAAATACCTAACTTATTTCATAGGCACAGAGGTAAGAAAAGAGGTGACAAGCACCCAAAATACTTGGTTTCTATCCTTTTAAGTTTGGAATAGGCCCAGAAATCCCTTATCAAATCACAGAGCAAATCTTCAGTAACATTTCCATGCCCAATGTATCAATATTAATGAAATAGGACAGGGCAATCTTGGCTTTCAATCTCAATTTCTCATTGTTAAGGATCAGGAGCTGGCATCAGCTATCATATCAGAGACTGAAGAGGCCTGACAACATGTCAAAGACCTTATATCAGTTGGAAATCTTTTCTTTGGGAGTGATCTCCAGATCTTATGCTCAATTGACCACTGTCAGAAAACAGAAAGTCCAGATGCCAGTGGCCTGTTTTACGGTCAGGACCTTTTCCCCTTCTGAAATGCCCTTCCAAGCTGCTAGCCTAACTCTGGTGCACAGCCAGTTACGTCAACACCAATAACCTCTGGTCTTTCTTCGGTCATCTTGGGAAGGAAATTTGATATCCTTACTTGGTCTGGACTACATATGACTCCAGATTCAAAGCAATGTAGTTCATTCTCAACTGCCCTCTCGGCAACTATGGATGAGCAATACGTGCTGACCTAAATACTAATGTAGCAAGTGGCATAATCATCAGAAAAAGATTTACCAGAGATAGAGAAACTTAGTTAACTGAATGGAGTTCAGGCAAAACATGAGATGGGATGAAGAATAATCAAGTTAGCTGTGGAAGTCTGCAAGCTTATGGACATTGTTGACAAGCAGTCCTTGATGTACTATGCAATACTCCATGTAAAATCCTCTCCTTTGGCTCAGATTTAAACATAAAAGATACAATGACAAAATGTAAAAGTTTATTTATATACTTTATTATGTTTAAGTGAAAGAAAAAAGCATTTTACGGCCACCATAAATCACTAACGTGCCTCTAAAATTATGTTGATAATATTTCTATGAATGTTTCAAAAACAAACTTGTTTTGCCTAGATTAACGCTAGATGAAATAATGTTCTCAGACTGCACAACTTCCTTTCGTATGGTTAAAATCCTTTAACTTATATTCAACCACCATTGCTGCATATCCCACACCTGTGTAATTTCAGATGGCACCAGTTATAGAGTCCAACCTGGTCACAGTTCCCTTCATAATGAGATTCATCTTAATCTCCATGGACTTTGATATCTTTATTTTCCATTTTGTGACCAGATGTATTTTTTCATTATTGGCACCTTCCAGCTCTTTAAGTTGTTAAAATTCATTATGGGAAATGTGGTTTGACTTGATTGTAATGAAATATTGCATAAAGGACTAGATTGCACAACTTTCTTGATAGGGCAATGAATCTTTACAGTATAAATGTACTTTGATACGCTCAG